ATGTGATGGTCTTTTTCAAGGGGAGGGGTTATAAGGCAGGCGAACCATTCATCATGCGTAAAAAGCTGCACTGTATGAGATCACAGCGACCATAGAACGCCACACACAATGGATGGCAGAGAAGAACAGGAAACTGACAGAGGTAAAGCGTTTGAAAACAAGCCCCGCGATTGCATATTGTGGACAGTGGCGTCCAGTTATGAAAGTGACTCTCCTGGGGAGAAAGCAGAAAAAAAATCATTGAGAACATCCTAAGGTCCCCGTAGCAGCTTCACATTACGAGTTTTTAGGACCTGCTCTATGCCAACAGAGCGATATCTTGCTGCCTCTGGCTCACTATTCCTTCTGCGCGTCTGCTAATATCTACCATCTCACCATCTAATACTTTCATCTGAAAGAGAAAAAGAGAATTGCTGTGCGAAAACTGAAGATGGACAGAAAATAGCCTTTGTTTCAGTTTTGGTGGGCAGGGCAACTAGGTTACGGGGCAGATGTCAACCAGACGATCTCTCGCTGCGAGGGTCCAGGGCTAATTTCACGGGGCATCTACCAGTCCAGCAGTTGAAGGGGAAGGTAAAGGAGGAGGGATCAGAGAAGGAAGGAGGAAAACGAAGGAAGGAGGGAAGAAGTTTTCCTGTTGACTTGTGCCCTAAGACGTCCTGTGAAACCGAAAGTGGGATATTTTGTGAACTGTGAGCCAGACTGCTTGAACAAAGAACAACGCCTACGAGTCCATTTAGCGCGCGAACTGTCTTCGTAGTTTTTTTTTCTGTCTGGGTTGCTTATTCTTGATGGGGCATGTAGCTGTGGTTCATAAAAAGCGGGTGTTATGCTAATACTTCACCTCTTCCTTGTTGCCTCCAGTGCGACCCTGTTCAGTCTTGAACTTCAGTGTATTTTCAACCAACTTGCTGGGGCATAGTAATAGTTTCTATACTACAGTATTGTTTACTGAACAAAATTAGCCCTGGGCTCGTGAAACAATTTCTAGGTCCAGCTCCAACAGATGGATGTTATGATGATGAGCGATGGGCCCGGTCGTCGTTTGCGAAAGAATGTGGCTAACGTTAGACGACACGTTGATTACGTTGCTACAGTGCTCAATCACGCGGAGGTGAATTTGCACTTGTTTTGTGTTCATCGCCTGAGTCCAAATCTGTTATTTTAATGACTTGTGACCCTCATGATACATTGAATTTTATAGTCTCGACTGTGGTTGTACAAGCGGTGGCAGCGACCGGTTCAGCAGCCGGACGAGTTGTACCAAAATACGGCCTTGCCTGCTCGGTGTACTCCGGAAATCCCGGTGGACTGTATTCTCACGAAATTTGTACGAGCCGCGATGAACAAAGTCAAATGTCCAGTGTATAGTTTATGTGTAAGTTTTAAAGTGTGCGATCTGTTCCGTAAGCAGCATTTCCTCTGTATTTGGTCAAATAATTACTTAAGCTCATTTCTGTCAGTTGTGCATTTTACAATGGCTTGAAGCATATATAATCATGAACAGTGTGGCTGAAAAGTATCGTTTGCTTTTGCCATCAAAAAATGCGCGCACGGTAGCATTTTTGTGCATTAAAGGCAGTTGGCACGATGGTTTCCTACTTAGCCTAAAATGCTAGTAGGGCGCTGAATAGTGGGGGAAATGGCGAAAAAACGAGTAAAACGGTCAAAATCCTGCTAAGAGAAAGCCTCCGTTCTCAGTGACTTGTACATCGATTTCGGACGAGTTTCCCATAGGCATCTTACCAATCACCGCTACAGAAGATACGGCTGCATATGTGTACCCATGTATGCATGCAGCACCGCCGCTTCATACCAATCCCTTCGCTTCATAATTTGCTTAGCAAATGAATGAATACGAGCGTCAGGAACGGTCGTCCATTTGTGGGCGGGGGCGTTTGGGACGTAAAGTTGTGGCTTGATAGGGCCCTTATAAGGGCACCTTCCTCGGGGAAACCGCTATGCAGCGCCTGCCCAGGGTCGGAATTCTATCCTGCCAGGAGTATTGATCCTAGTCGCCTTGGGGATTTATGTGCCAACTGCCTCAAAAGCATATACCAAATGGCAAGAGTTTGGAGGCCGCACAGAATTCCCATGCTTCTCAGCTCTGGACAAATTTACCTCACGGGGCATGCAAGTAGTTTCGAATCCTTGAAGAACTTTCGATAACATTCTCGATCGACACATTGACAGTGAAATTCAAAATTCTTTTTGATAGTAATTAGAATTTCCAGATTTTCGGAGCGTTAGGGATCATAACCACCCAAAGAAGAATAATTGAAAAAAGCACGCAAGATGACAAAAAATGCTCTAAATAAAAAAGAAGAAGTGAACATGCTCAAACCAGCGTCATTTCTGATGTTTTATATACCGGAACGCCGCCGCGCGCAGTTACTTTCCTGGACATTTTCGCTGCATCTCATTGTTGTGTTCCTTGCTTTGCAACTTAACAAGTAGTTTCTGTTAGCTTTGAATGGTATCAGTTCACGGTTTCACCGCAACTCTCTACATGATGATACTACTTCTACCCGACACGACCATGAGGAGCAGCCGTACGCGTAACAAAGTTCTCCCCTCCCCTCCGGATTGGAACTTCAAAAATGTGCTTAGAAAATGGGTTTTTCTGTTTTTGAAGCATTTATTCTGCAGGGGGGAACTCCTAGAGCGGTAAACGACTGATTACGGGTGCATCAACGGGCGAGTTCACATTATGGAATGGAACAGCTTTCAACTTCGAAACAATTCTACAGGTACTGGAAGCGGTATTGTTCTGTCCGTATGTATTTTTATTATTACGATCGTAATTGAAGTAGTGCACCTTTAAAAACGGTGTCAGTTTTGCTGATTTTAGTCTTGCTAGTTTTCGTTGTCCATAAAGGACGTGAAATTACTTCATGTTGAAGAAGCGGTGAATAAAGCTTCGCAGAGATGCCGCTGATTATTCTACCCATTTTGACCGTTTAATTGTAAACGTGAAGGGTGAATAAAGGGATTCTCTCATGTGTGTGTACCCAGCATACGCAAAATGAAGTATCCCACGGGGATTTTTGAAATTGTGCAACAGAAGAAGGGGTTAAATTCAGGGATATTTACTTCTGAAGTCATTGCTGTAAAAGAACAAGGAGGAAGTGGGCTTGCAGTGCGGCGAAAACTCGCTGAGGGAGGGCTGTCGCAATTTCCTACAAAAATTTAGTGAGGGCAACGATAGACGGTAGTTGAGAGGGCGAGCCAGGAAGGGTGTTGTCTCTACTTTAGGTTTGCCATTGTACCCTAGGCATCACAGCTATGATTTTAGAACAGCGTG